TGAAAAAACTGAACAATACAGAACTATTTTCTCATGTCTGTATACCCTGACAATTCCTCACAACAGTTTGCCGAGCTGAAATTATCATTGTTTAGAAACATGAGAATTAGAAAAAGGAAAAAAAATATGTTTTCAAGTACATACTACATATAATGTGACATTTTCGTGGTTTTCAGCAAAGTCTGAATGTTTTACCAAAATTTATTTTCACATAATCATATAAGTATTAGTTTTAGAAAATAACCTAACCCTGAACTGGACTGGCAGTGGTGCCTCTGAGATCACACATTCAAAGAGTCAAAAGAATAACTGTGTGGATATCTGTAGTTTGAAATTGTTTCCATTTGAACCACTTGCCTCTCTTGTTACAGGATAAAAATAAACAGAGAAAGCTAAAGTAAAAGGGTTGACACCAAAATTGCTACGTATGTTGTATCTGAGAGTTTGCTAGTTACTGAGGAAATAGTTTGCTTAGACATGCTCAGATCACTGTTTTAAAGGTAAAAGCCCAAGACATAAAAGCTACCAGTAACCAGGCATTCTAAAAACATGCTAAATAAAAAAATGAATGCTGACAGGCAAGATCCCAGGCCCCATAAATACTACCAGTCATACCACACAGAAGTCACTGCAGTCAGAATGCACCATTTCTGAGAGAACTATCCTATCCATAAGCACACAGTAACAAAGCATGGTTATTGTGGAAAAAAAACCAAAAGGTCCAACAATGCTTTAATAAAGCATAAACCAACATTCCTCTTACTGCAGTGAAAGAACAAAAAGTCTGAAATATTGAAATGTTTATTTTACAGTGAGCACTGAAAAGCATTTAGCTGTTTCCATTTACAAGCTGACCAGCAACTCAAAGTCCCTGCCATTTATACACTTATGTTACCAGATAAACTTTTCTATAAAATTAATTATGAGAAAAATTCTATTAGCTCCCTAACACCTCTCTCTGGTGGCCAGAAAGAATGAAACATATGCAGCAGGTTAATCTTGATATTAGGTGGAACTTTTTCTGCTGACTTTGCGAAACTCTGGATAAATTATGAATTAATGTGTTGGAGTGTGTAAAATGGAAGCCTCTCCCAGTCCCTCCGAGAGAAAAAAGAGTGCAGGGATTTAATTAAAGCCCTTAAAATATATTAAACTACACAGACATGCAGCAGAAGTGTAAGTTTAAATGTTAAGTAAGTAAGAATATACTTTAAGTGCATTAAGAGAGTAAAAAGCCCTAAAGTCTAGTAAAAAGTTCAAGTTTAGTTACAAGTTCAGTAACTTAGCCCCAGACATAATGGAAACATAGTAAGAACACTGCTTGCATTTCCTAGATAGAACAGATAGCACCATTGATGTGAATAGATAGAACTATATGCGCAAATTATGTGTAAGAAGTGACACCACTTTCGTACTTGAGAATTAATTTAGAAAGAAAGTTTCAGATTCATGTTTTTAGCTCATTGGATGGTTTATGAATAAAACCCCCTGTATTGTGGTGACACACACAGAGGAAGAGGAGGAGGAGAAAAAATGCCAGGGAGCTGCTGCTTCTTCTTAGGACTAGAACTAGGACTAGGACTAGACTATGCCAGAAAGTTTTATCATGGACTTTAATATTCTGAACTCTTTGCCTTCGAGCTTTACAGCAACCAACTACTGCTCTTGTCTCTTTGAAGACCCAGACCCATGAATAACTTGACATTACTGTAAGCTTGTATTCTCCATAGCTTTGTTGTCTACCATAACCTTCAGAGAATCTAGAAGCATCACGTCTCCAACTCTGCATACATGTCACATAAGAGACAAATCTCTCTACAATGGCTGGTCTCCCATGAGAATATATTCCAGCCTAGATCGACACACCTCAAAGGTGGGAAACAATGATCCTGTGCTGCACCATCTGAAGCAAGATCACAAGTTTAACAGAAAAGTATAAAATTCCACTATTTGCCTGGCTTTTTTTACTTAAATGATGCATCAGTTTTACTGCCTTTGAGAAATAATTTATTAATCAATCCTAACTCACAGGTGTCTTAAACATTACTGACTGGCAAAGACAAGCTTCTGAACTGCAGAGGTCATTAGAAAAACATCCACATATTTTGCTGTTCTAGATATATTTTTACAATATCGTTCCTGTAAAATGGAATTATCTGAATATATCCAAAAGACCAGACTATTATGTAGCTTCCTCTAGTGGTCAGTCCCTAAATCTTGTTGCTTCTGCTATTTACTCTAGTTACTCGTTACACACAAATTCTTCAGTGTTCAAATGCTGTACATTTGAGAAGGCATTAAAATTTATACTGCAATGTACCTCTAATACAAAAACCAAGGAAACTAAGCCAAAACATTGAACAAAACATTTGTTAGTGATACTAAAAGAAAAAAGAATGAAGTCAACAGAAACAAAAACAGTTTTCCCATTTGCCCCATTGTGAATATGCATTATAATATATTTAGTTATGTGGTCAAGCTTGACTTTCCCACGACAAGAGTCAGGAACCAAAGACAGATGTTAATTTTTTAGCCGAGTCTTCAGATATTTGCTATGAACCATTCAAACTTTTGTTTTGACCTGAAAATTATATATGTGTGTGTGTGCGCATGCACATTTTAAACAGGCTTGTTCCTGTGCAATTGGTTTTTTTTTCTGCAAAACTCCACTGAGGGAGAGGGAAATTAAAAGACACAGCAAAGCATTCACCAAATTTGAAGGCCACTGAAAACAAGAAACAATTTGATATAGCCCTAAAATACCACAAGAAGAATCAAGGAAGCTCTCTGTGATATAGGATGACAAATTAACAGGATGAAATTTCATACTGAGCATCAGGTTGAAGTCACTAAGGAGGAAGAGGGAAAACCTAAAGGTAGAAAGTAACTGCCCATTACAAAATATATTTTACTGAACAATTCAACTGTTAAAAAGAGTGCAATTACCTCAACTCTAAAACAAGGTAGTTAGAAATCTGTTTGGTGATTTAACTGAAAATAATCCCACCGTTTATGTTATCTAAACTGTACAGAAGTAAAAAATCGTATCACCCATATGCAGTTTGAAAATCTGTGAATGAGAAACTTATTTATTATAAGGTGTTCTTCTGTGAAACAGCAGCAATAACTTTTATGTCTAACTGAATGCATTCCATTGCCTGACATTCTTTATTGCCTCTGTTCTTTACTGCACTCTGGAACCAAAAGAAGTTCCCTTCAAGCTCTTTTTTTTCCATTTTGTCTCTCCCACAAAGCCTGTCAACTTCCATTCAGCTTTGACAAGGACATTAACTCCTCGAAACTGTCATCACCATTTATTCCCTCACACCTTGCCAGCACCAATCCACATTGCCACTGCATCAATGCCTGACAAAACATGTAATAAAGCAAAAACTTTTACAATTAGGTTCAAGGACAAATTAAATTTGACACGGTACTGCATATGCCCCTGGGAAGCCTACAGGTAGCTCAACAGTGTGAACCTCACAAGTCCCTTAAATGCTCATCCCTCCATTACAGAAATTCACATGGAGCTTCCACACACTTGGACAAAAAAAAACCCAAACCTTCAACATACAGACAAAAGACAAGGGCATGACCGAATCAACTAAGTATTACCTTCCCTTTCTCTGTTTCTTCCCAGCATACTAGTCTCCATGCTGCCAGCTAATGCAGCTTGCCCTAGCATTGCAGCTGTGATTTGTTCTCTCATGACTTATTTAGGAACATGCTCATCCTGACTGTTTCAAAAGAGAGGATCTCAAAACATTCTGTGTGATGCTGACTGTAAAGGTACCTCCGCAGTTAAAATATCTGACACTACACATTTCCCTGCTGTTGGTATCTACCGACCCTTACTCATTTTTACAGCCGGAATCAGCTGGAATGTGTCTTCTCCTCAGGAGAGCAGGCAAGCGATTTACAGCACAGTAACTAACTTCAAGTCTCAAGTTTGCTTACTCCCTGCAATGCCATTACATCCTTGGGGAAAGATAACACAGCTAACAAAAAATGTTACAGCTCCTCAAAATAAATAATATCTGTCCAAATTGGTGAGTACTGCCAACTCTCTTATGTTCCTGGCTTTCTCTCAGAACAGCTCTAAAGCTGTGGACTTTGTTAGTAAAATAAGGAAGGAGAGAGATTTAGTCACGTCTTTTCAGAAAACATTCCTACACCTGTTTCTTGTCACTGTGTAACAGCATTTTGGCATTACAGCAACCTGAATATGCAGTGGTGCTTGTGTAGCAATGTAAGAGCCTAATAAATAAAACCTGTGACAAAAATTGGTGCATTGGCCGGAAATCTCAAATTGGCAATCCAAAACCACTACAAACATGAAAGCTGCAGTGGAGAAAATACAATAAATTTTCATGCATGCTTTTCATTTTTCATGCTAGGGATCAGAATATTAAGTGCATTTTAGTGCCAAAATCTGTATTAAAGTCAGTCACCATTCCTTGTATTCCACTGGAATTACAAACACCAACCAAAACCCAGCATATCACAGAGACAGTACAGTCAGTCAAGAGTGTGATAACCCACTTTCACGTAAGTGACAATTAAGTGACTCTAATAAAATTATTATGGTTTTAAAGAGGCAAGACAAAGTAAGTAGAAAGATACCCATCCTAACAGCACGGAATTGAAGGTTAACGGGAGCCACAGACTCCTTTTCCGACACACGTACTAAGATACAGCACAAGTTACAGAATTAGTATGGCTCTGGAAAGGATGATCCTGATTCTAAAGCATCAGAGTATTTTAATTACAGGATTGCTTCCTAACTGCTCAAGTGGTGGCAGAGTAAATATCAATAAACCTCCTCATATATAATAGAACAGAACATGAAAAGAAATTGTCAGTGTACCTGTTTTGTATTGCTGAGCTCTAAAAAGAAAAGCAGCTATTCTTTGACTAACCTCCAAATATCAGATTTTAAGCTAAAGAAGTGCAGATCCCTTCAGGCAAAAGATCACTTTAAACAATGCACAACTTACGCATCTCTTCAACCACATCTGGATCACATTCCCTGTATTTCTCTATTTCTGTCTTGAGTTGCTCTTTTTTCTGCCGAAGGGCAGCAAGTTCCTTCAGCAGAGCTGCACGTTCCGCCTGAGGATTCAAAGGATGTTAGGAGATATAAAAGACCCCAAACATTAAAAAAAGTAATTATCACTCAAAGCTTTTTTTTTTAAATAAAAACATACAAATTTAAAAGCTGCTTTCACTACTGCTTTCTATGAGCAGAATGCACTTGACCATTCCATTTTATTACACAGAATTCTCAGTGACACTAAATGATACTGAATACCAACTGAAAAGAAAAAAAATTAAGGCCAAAATAGATCAACAAAATAAAAATTTTCAACAACCTTTGAACCATGGTTTTACAAACTCCAAAGAGATCTCTTAATTATTGGGCTTAAAGGTTAAGCAGTATTTAGGAGTGCTAGTCTTGTAATTAAAGATGACATTACACAAAAACCTACCATCCATCCTTCCACAAATTGAGATGCTGTGTATGAATACCCTCTGAATTTGTCATCTTTCCTTTTCCACACCATTTAAGAGCAATGGCCTCAAAAATAAATTCAGATATTTATGACATTGTAGTCTTTGCTGGGATTGTACACAATATTGATCTCAAATATTCTACTGATCAGTAAGAAATTGCAGATGCCGACTCAACATGAGCTCCCACAGCCAGCTCAGCACATACTTCTAATTCAGTCTATAGCTACAGACAAACACTGGAACTAGCTGATAGTCAAATAACTCAAGCTAGGGTAGCCTAGAAGAGCCAGATTGCATGAGTTTGTAAACCATGAAGATTTTACCAATGCCAATCTCCATAGTAACACAGCAGCCTGAGGTATTCATGGATTTGGGGTTTTGTTTAAGGTCGTTGGGTTTCCCCCCACCCCAAACTTCCATATTCCCAGTGCTTTTGTCAACAGTTTGGATTCAGCATGTTCTGAAAATGAAGAATGGAAATCAAAAGGTTCCAGATGCTGAGATATGAAGGTGAGATGCTTGGAGATCTACATTGCAATCTAGATCTTTTAGGACTTCGTCCTGATGTATAATCAGGAACCAAAATGTTGGAAACATCAACCAGAACAGGATTTCCAGACCAATAACTTTTTGTAGGGCAGGCCACATGCTGGAGAAGCCCAAGGCTGAAACAGTTTGTTTTGAAACAGGACAAGCACAATTATGTGAGATACCTGCCTATGATTCCTGATTACAGTCCATTGCGAATGAATGAGTAAAGAATTCCAATTAAGATACTGCCAAAAAGCAGGTTTTAATTGAATTTGTGGATCTGCAACTTTAACAGAGTTTGATGGTAAGGTTCACTCTATTCCTTACTAGATAAACGAAACATACACAGGGAAAACCTAGAGTGTTTCTACAAAACAGTTTGGATTCAAAGATTTGGCACTTTCCTACAAAATTCAACTCCTCCTGAAAGCTTCTGGCTCTCTTTTATTGGAGGTTTAAATCACTTTAGACTGAGCATCTCAATGCAAGTCAGCAACTGAGAATACCATATGAAGTATTTCTAATTACTACGTTGGTTATGACAAACATGAAGTCTGGATATTTTTTTGCAGCTTCAGCAAGTGAAGAGCACCAGGCTTATATGGTTGCTCAGAACAGTAATTTAGGAACCTCTATTACAAAAAAGTTGAAAAAACCCAAACCAACATCTAAGTTTGGAGTTAGCAGATTTAGCAGTTCAGCAACCACTGGCAACTTTGGTACATGCCTCTGAGTAGTTCAATTTTTAAGATATTTTTAAATCTGAAAATACCTGGAAGTACTACACTAGTATACAAGAGTACATACTTGTAGGGTTATTTCCTTGTAGGATTATCTCCCCCCCAAAGCAACTTACAGTATCTTCACGTCCAATTTTTGATTTCTCAATGCTTTTTTGTAAAGCCTCTTTTTTCTGACTGCTTTCAGCAAACTGATAAAGAAAACAAAGAACAAAACCAAATTTTTTCAGTAACATACTAAACACAGCTACAAAATGTGCATACATATTAATGCATTGAAATAAACAAGTGGATATATCTTTTAAAATACATGTATTTTTTAAAAAAATATTTTGTATTTATTTTGTATTTAAATTCCGTAAGTTCTGCATGTATTTTGAAATTAAACACAAAATAAATACAAAATAAATACAAAAGTGCCCAAATATAAATCTAGAGGCTCTGAAACACAGAGAAGAATTACAGGAAACAACTTCAAGTCTAAGAAATTTTCATATCTGTGGCACATAATCTTGCTATATACTGAATGTTCAGCATGGGACTAAAATCCTATTTCATACCATAATCTGACATCTCTATGCAAAGGACCCTATAACATGGAGGCTTTAGATCTGATGATTTCCTTTGTTTTTTTTTCCAGCTGTCCCTATTCAATGGAAGCAGTGACAAAAGCTGTAGCAGATCCACCTGCTCAGCTGCAGATACCAGTGTTCCCAAAGTCTGATATGCCACTAGCATGGCCCCAATCCTTTTACATGCTGATGAACAGAAGCCTCTGTTCAAAGGCATGTAAAGTTGTGGCCCCCTTTTACTCTGTGGCCCTTGCACTGCTAGACCTCACAGAGATTTTTTTCTTCAGGCCTGAGGCAGAGGAATCTCACAGGGCTGGTGTGAATAATTCTTCCATTTTTCTCTTACATCAGGAGAAATAATTTGCCAAGAGAGATCTCTCTCCATTAATCTGCTACCCATCTTGAACCAGGCCTCCCCAGGTCAGTTGGCAGTTTTCTAGATATACTTTGGAAACTCTTAAGCTAGGCAGGAGTATGACTCAACCCTCAGGGACACCACACTCAGCATCAGAAAAAGCACCTTGAAATATTAAATGACAAGAATGAAAAAAAAATTCTAACAAAATACAGTTTGAAAATCACCTATTGCATTGAAACTAACACAAAATTTAAAAAAAATAAAAAAAACCAATAGCATGCTTTTTAAGTACCCTTTGTTTTAGTTTTAAATATGAATTGTGAAAAGAACAGCTGTCACAGCTCAGGTTTTAGTCTGCCCTACTCCAAAATCCCTCACATGAATCTTCCACTTCTACATTCCCTTTCTCACCGAGGATCCCACTGAGTGCAAAAGCATTCCAGGATATTTCTTGCAATCCCCAGCCTTGATAAATTTAACCACATGGTTTATATCATGCAGCTGATATAAATGCATTCATGCAACACAAACAGAACTCCTTTGGAGCTATAACCACTTCTCAATTTAAATTAAACTAACGTTTGGTCCATATTTTCAGAGTATTAAAAGTAAATGTATGATAAATACCAAGCAGAGCTTATTGGCAAGTCTTGGAGATCAGTCATAACAGTAAAAAGAAACTCCATACTGGTGGTCCATAAAGATCAGGATACAGCCCAACCCCAGCTCACTGGGTTTAGCGGTTCCTTTCATAGCTTGATTTTTAAAAATAATTACTATATGTTCATGCATGTGTGAGCATGCATAAAGACAAAAAAGTCTCCTTTCTAAAAGGATGTTTAAGTTTTCTTCAATTTATATAGGAATTATACTAATAGTAAGACATAATTTGAGGAAAAGTACGTCCAGCTCTTTACTTGCTGTTCTCAGTGCAACAGTGTAGGCTTCACTATGTGGCTTGAAGTACACCAACATCTTAGTTTTGCTGGATGAAAGAGTACGCCTTCCAGGCTTTCCACAAAATTCTTAGAAGAGTAGGTGTATTAGTCCCCACGATACCATACTAGACAGAGGTATATCGTTCAGAAGAGAGTAAGTACTTAGATGCAATTTGCAGTTTACGAAGTCCAAGGAAGACAAACCCCAGAGCAGGTCATTTGGCATCTCTGAACACAGGATTTTTCTGGAACAAAACCCACCGAGGAGGTAGAGAAGCCAAGGAGCTTACCTAGACCCTTACACTGCAAGCGCAAAGAAGCCAATGGTCTCTGCAAGAGAGGTCATGAAGGTGTCACTTTCTCTGGTTTGTTTTTTTTCATTAAGTTCAGAAGGAATGTTTCTGCTTTCTCTAAAATGGATGTACAGAAGGAGCTCTCAAGGCAGTGCAAACCAAAAAAGCCGGTTTCCAGCTTGGAAGCACCCAATCAGGCATCTTATAATTTTCTTGATCCTCTATATTCCACATAACTTAATAATGCAAGAGACACTAATGACAAACTGTGGGAGATAAAGGAATTTCTTAGATTCTGTCCTACACAACATGCAAGATTGCCATGCCAGGAAGTTAGAAGACCTTCCTTTGCTTAAAAGCAAAGATGATTTTTACACAATCTCATTTAAGATACTGCTTTCTTATCTCACAGATTTTAATTGGTTATTTTTGGATTTTTAAATTATTCTTTAATTATCATTTCACATAACAAACAAAATACAAAATAAAATTACACCTCAGCTCTTTGTGTATTATTGTGAATTCATGGTGGTTATCCTCTATGACAACAAATAAAAGATCAGGATAAGAAAAAGGAATACCAGAAGGAGGTAAGATACTGAAAAAACTAACACAGGACAAGGATTCAAAGCATGAGGAACAGATGGCCAGGGTTTATACAAAGAATTTATGACAATGGGAGAAGCAGAAGGGTTTGGATACAGAGGTGGGAACACAGCTAAAAATAACTGTATTGAAAGAAGAAAAGACAGTCAGCAAGTATAGAGGAGTTGGATGGAGGAAGGATGGGTACACATGATACAGTACTTAACTGAAAGGTAAGTGCAAATGGCAAATGATAGGTTATAGGACATTAGAAGAAAAAAAAGAGCAGAATTTGCAAATATTGTGCATATGATAGCAGAGGACCACATGACAAATACAGTGACCTACTTTCCCATTCATCAGCTGTAGAAAAACCTGATGCAAAGAAGCACAGTAGCAAATTGAATCCTTGGAGCAACCTTGGGGACATTTTTCAAGAGAACTGGCAAACAATTTCTTAAGGAACATTAACCACTCTCAGAAATCTGACTCCTGCCAACAGCAGACTGGTCCAGAGATAAAGATACTAAGTCCCTTCTATATTTCTGGAGAGAGATGTCTGGGCTGACACCAGAACATCCTTCTGCCACAAGTGTAACTGACCAGGTGTGGAGAAGAAGTAGAGATTCTACTCCAATACAAAATTTTCTGTCTCCAATCTGACTGCTCTGAATCAGCACATAATTAAGCAAGGTGTAAGAAAGTAGCAAAAAGTTCATCTAGGGAAAAGGAAAGGGAGAGGAGATTCAATAATTCAAAATTAAGAAGTTAAAAATGTTCTCTACAAGAGCATTTTCATGTTTTCGAAACACACTGGGAGCCTGCAAGAAGACAGTTTAACAAAGTAACTAGCATCTATAAAACAGGAGAGCTGGGGAACAATTTCTTTAGTTTTATAGACCAGTGTGATCAATTAAATGGCCACTAGCCCTAGACATTAATTCAATCCAAAGTCCCCCAAAGGGATGACTTTTCCTACTCTTCAGAGGTGTCACATGTGTGAAGTAGTTTGGGTATGCAAAGTGCTAGTGATGATAACCACCAGTTCCATCACAGAACTTGGGGTCAGGTTCGTATCAACAAACACAGATTAGATGTACACACATAATTTATAATCTAGTATGAATGCATTACTATAAAGGCTCCACTTCAGTAAGCCACTGATTGGAATATTTGGAAGAAGAATGTTTAATGAACAACAGCAGCAGGTTTCAGTTCCATTCCTTTTCAAAACCTGCCTGATTGACTTTTATGCTAGAATAAAAAACAACCTTATTTTTTCTCAAGCAAAAGTTTTTGTTGCTCCTATGTCTTGTGATTCTCTGTTTTTAACCACTCTAACCACCAGTATCCACCAAACACGTAGCTTGTCTCACCAGCATATTAAAATATCAATAAACCTAGTATAAGCCATTCCAACCCAGCCCCTGAATATGTTCACTGGACAAGAATCAAGCCAACATTGCACATGCTAACCACCAAGAGGGCTCACAGCTGTTAGCCCACTATCATTACGATCTGAAGTATCATCTGTTTGGTTTTCTTTCAGCCAAACACTCAACCAAAAATGGCATTAAAAACTATTGCTCTTGTAAGCACCACTCACTGTGGCACCAGAGAAGAATTAAGGCATTAATTTTTTAATTATTTCTGACTTGCAAAGTTATTTGCTTTGGGTTTGAAGCTCACTGTCCTTTGTTTCAGGCTAAAGGCAAGGCTAATTTGTTTTTGGCTTAAACAAAAGCAGTTCAAGAGGTTTAGGGTAACATTAAGCAGTAGAGAGATGTATTTCTTTTCTATGTGAAAAGTAATTCACTACTGAAAAACTTAAGTGGAATTGACAGAAGATATGGAGAAAAAGTACCTCAAAGCATTTCTCTAGATTTTTAAGAAAGATAACAAAAAATTGAAGCTAAAAAACAGACCAATAATATGTAGAGAGAAAAAACGCAAAGATCAACAGCCAAAGAACAATCTAAAAACATTGAAAATAGACTTTTGTGTTAAAAGAAAGGCCCAGAACATTACTAAAAGAAATCACTCAACAATTACTGTTGACTAAAACTTAAAGAGGAAGGAAAATTCCGAAGGGCAGCACACTGAAGTGCAGAACTGCTTTCTGAAGTATTACACTAAGCAAGGATACAGCTACTTCTTTTACATACACAGTCACAAATCCATGCTTCTCAGGGCTTCCAAATACACATAAGCAAACTTTGCAGCCAGCTAATTATGGTCACAGCAGCGTGGAGAGCCCTCCTGTGACCTAGAGTACAATGGCTTCCGCTCTGATCTTGGGATGTCACATATCACTCATGAAATGCCATTTCTCCATATAACCCATACAGTGAACTGAACTACAGTAGGAGCAGCCACCAGGTCCACTGAAACTTCAGTCAGGGATGTGATAAACTGTTAATGAGGCACAAACTGCAAACATACACT